GACTGTGGTTTCGTGGTTTTTATTATTATTATTAATTATTCTTTGTGGCCTGATTTAAAAAAAAAAGTTGGCATCCACTAAATGTTTATCAAACTAAAATGTTGATCAAATAAGAAAATATATTTGAAAGCATGATATGGACGTTAAATATTGTTATAAATTCAGCCAAATGTACTAGTCCAAGTGGCCACAGGACCAAAGATGTGCTGATTAACAAAAAACATTAAGGTGACATAAACAAAAGAAATGCGAGAGCCTTTTGAGTTTGGCCAGGACAACACAGTGTAACTTTGATGCACCATCAGGCCAGCTACCTTTTCACATGCGAGAGCTGTCACATCAGCCTTTTGAAGAGCTTTCTCGGCATGATCTGTGTCACACTTAACATTAAAAGACAAAACAAAATCAGCAACAAGTTGAGAAAATGAAAACATCTCCAAGTACCAACTACCAATGAAGCTAGGTTGCTGCAATTCATTTTTTTAGCGCTAGATGAGTATGCATAGGATTACAGTGTAATTTTAAAGCTCTTATAACATGATGAGTTAAAAGGGACTCAGAACACTTAAATGGGCATTGAAACTCTAGTGCTAGTGATGGTGATAGCGCTCTCACCACAGGGCAGAACCGTAGGTGACTGAGACATATTGACCGCAGACAGGCCACTGCCATGGGCCTCATTTGTAGTCATAACATCTGGCAGCTAATTGAGCAGGAGCAGCTAGAGAGAAGCAGCTTAGTACACAGAGGTTGATGCAGATTTTTAATAGAGTCGCAGCACAGAATTGCTCAACAGGCCTCACGAAAACATTCACGGCATCCAAAGTGAATGTGTGAAACATTCAAAGTGAACAATATGTTTAAAATACGCAACAAAATCAACTTTGGACAGGGCCAACTGGAAAATATTGATATCTAAATAGAGTATTAAACTAATTATGGTGTTATTGCAAGCTATTATGAATAAAAAACATATCAGGTTTTATATTTGTTTTGGTATTTTGTGTTTGGGGGAGATTTTGCAAGAAGAACAAGAGAGTTGGTATCAAAAGAGTTTTAGTTAATGCTGAAAATGGTATGTTTTTATCTTTTATTCCTTTTTGAAAGGTAACCAGAGTCCAAACCAAGCACCGAATTAATTTAGGTTAAAATAACAGTGATCTCAGCAACTACTAGTTTTGAGCACAATGTGCCAAGCACTAAACTAGGTGCTTTTTGTATATTAGCTTATTTGTTACTTGCGTACTCCCCGTTAGAAAACATCTTCCCATTTTCAGATTAGGAAATTGAGGCTCAGAGAGGTTAACTCATCCCAACTCACATAGCTAATAAATAATAGAGGCTGTATTGAAATCCCCAGTTCTTTCTAATCGCCATGAGAACTCAAAAGGAGAGAAATGAGAAGACAGGATGACGATGTAAACATGATAAGACAAATAATGGAACAGAAATGAGAGCCATAAAAAAAGATAAGAAGAGAGTAGGTTAAAAAAAGGTAAGAAAAGGAGACCAGGCATTGAGAAAGAGAGGGAATTCTTTAGACTGAATCCTTTAAAGTAGCAATGTCTTTATTAGTAACTGTAATTATTCTGTTTCATCTCAGCTGACACTCTTTTGAGTCCTGTGGGACATCTTACTAGACAGTCCCACTTCCCACCTTATATAGTACTTCCAGGGGCTATTTCAAAGCGGAGATTATACAAGAAATCTACCACATAGCCTGACAGCTTCCAGGATCTGGAAGGAATCAAATTGGATTGATTTAAATTTCAATCTGTCCTCAGTGTTTGTGCTCTAACTTTACATGGGCTTTGTAGAAAAGACTAATTTTAATTCACTGGAAAGCAGATGAGATCTGTCATGGGATGGTAAAACACAAGAAACTTGTCCAAATTAAAAAAAAGAAACAGCTTTCTCTCATGGGTCAGTTTCATAGCACAAGTATTTGTCACTAGGTGCACACAAGCTGGTATTCATCAAAATAATAAAAATTGTTTCTAAGGTTTATTGAGCAATTACTATGTGCTAAGTGCTTTAAAATGTATTTAATGGTCAAGAGGAGTCTAGGAAGTTGGTACTGTTATGATGACTAACCACTCATTTTAATGATGTAAAAACTGAGGCTCAGAAAGTTAAATAACCTAGGTCACTTGGCCAATAAGTAGCAGAGCAAGGATTTGAATCTCAGGCTCTTGATCAGTACACTATACAGCTTTTCCCAGTGGAGTAACCATGAATGTATAACCCCGAAATCTCTATATTTTTTGACTATAGTACTCTAAGAAAAAAAAGGTGGGAGGGGAAGGGCAGAGGGAAGGAAGAAGGAAAGGAAAAGATAATTACCTCGAAAACTAGACCAGCTCTTGAAAAGAGAGATATGGGTTGAGTTATTGGGAGTAGGGGTGTTCTGAACCCACTGTGGCAGAGAAAAAGTCTGTAGCAAAGGGTGGGAGGAAAAAAGATGAGGCAAAAAAATAGGAGCATAAAGTAAAAAGATGAAACAATGCATGTAGAGTAAAAAGAGAAGAAAGGTCTTGTAAATCTTTAGAATAGAGTATGAAAATTATATAACTAATTTTTAAATAAATTAATGTCATTTCTCTAATTTACCCTATTTATTTCTAATTTCATTGGCTAAACTGACCCGTTCAACTCAGCCTTTGGAATTAATACTGTTTGTTCTGATGGTGTCTCAGCGAAAGGTGGGTGTGTTATTTGGTCTTTTTTTTTTTTCCTCTTGAAAGTTATTTAAGTCAACATTAACCATGGCTATGTAACCACAGAAAGGGCAGTATCTTGAAGGCTCATGGTTTGGATCTTCTCCTGCAAAACTTCCCACTTCTATCTATAGTTATGTTTAGTGTTTTACCTGCCAGAATCGTTGGCTTGCTATGGGTCTGTGTGTCAGGGCAACACTGGGCCTTGTTTGCAGCCGAGTTTTTCTGCTTCATGAAACCCTGGTGCCAAGACTATGCGGTTCTCAATGGACATCCTCCGGTTTAGTCTCTTGTTTCTTCTCCAGAAATTTCCCAGTGGTTAGCATTGCCGACTTGATGCCATATGGTCGTACGAATCTCAAAACCGTTTACTTGATGACTAAAATTTTTTTTTAACTTGTGTTGATGCTTAAATTTTTTTTTAACTTGTGTATCCCCTTCATTCTGAAAGTAATAGAGTGTCATCAGTGTTTGTGGTATAGACCTATCTTGATGACTTTGTTTATATAGATGTGACTGAATATTTTTTTAAAAAGTACTGCCTTTGCACAAAAGCCAGTTTTTTCATGTCAGTGCAGCTGTTTTAACTTTTAAGAAACCACAAGCATTTTATCCTCTAAAATTTTAATTTGAAAGATGTAAGACTTTTAAAGAAATACAATGTTTCTGAAACTGGTATATGTTAGCCTCTTGTGTTCTCTTTAAACTCTTAAAGAGTTGAATAAAGTTCCTGAGTTAAGTTAGTTATAAACTTTCACACCAAAATACATGTTATTGCTGAATATCTAGTAATCTTTGAAATGTTGTTATAACAGAAGCAGTAGCATTTATAATAAAAATCAAAAGGTAATAGTAGCTCAGTTTTCATGATCGCTCTCTAAGCTGAGTGAATTTTCCATGGACACAGAGACAGATGCCAGAAACAGTTGTGTTTTCCTGGATTTGCTGCAGCCCAACTAGTCATGGTAAATGGTGTTTTGCTTCTTTTCTATGCTATAGCAATGATTTCCACTTCCTGTTACATAGGAAAACCTATTCTGCTGTTAAAAGAGGTCGCTAGATGTATTTATTACAACGTTAAGACCATTTTATCCATGGAAATAATTTTTTATTGTTCTGAGTCACTCTGGTTTGTGGAATTTTTACATGAGTTCCAGGACAAGGATGAGATGATATATTTATTTTATTTTGTATCCTCTCTCATATGTTTTTTGACCGTATGAATGTCAAGCTTGTTGTCAAAGTATTTTCACATTTTTATTACTTTAGAAGTTACTCTGCTATATTTATGTCTCTTAAACTCTTCATTGACAATTCACTATGTGAACTGGGCATTTATTTTGGCAGCACTACTTGCTTTTCTCAGTGTCATGTGATCTCTTGTTTTGCCCTTAGCCCCAATTCATGTCTTCTCCATGTATGTCTTTACCGTGTTAAAGTTTATACAAACCTTTAGAAATATTTAAATCTTTTTGTTGAGCTGCTGGAAGGACTTGCATTAAATTGTGAACTCCAAAGAGCATTTGCTATGTCTTAAATTTTTTTCTTGTATTAAAGTAAATCTCCTTAGAAGTATTCCCTAGTTCAGCCCAGAATATCTCTTCTGCTTGAGACTACAGCCAGGAATCATAGAAAGTCCCTGAAATTTATTTTAAAATATTCTTTAGTTTGATTGCAATTATTGTATTTGTTAATCTCCTCTAGGGATCTAGGTTAAATTTAAATAACAGTTCAGATATACAGAGAAGGCTTAGACATCCCGACATTTCAGAAAATATCTGCATAGAAAACAATGACTGTCCTTTTGAGTGATTTTAAGGTACTGGTTATTGTCATTGATATTCCTTCCACATATTACTCTGAGTGTGTGTAATTCTGACTGACTTAATGTTTAAAATTAAATCTTGTGCTTTCTGGCAAGGGTAGGAGGATCGGTTGTTCTGCCTCCTACCTGTCTTGACTCATGTGCCCTAACTAGTCACTCTTCCAACAGTGTCCTAACTAGTCAGCCTTCAACAGAAAAAGGGACTATAATGTTGACTTGAGCTTAGACTAGAGGGAACAAAAAGGGAGAATTTCTAATAGGTAATTTCTTCTCTTGCAAATGATTATGACTAGTCCGGACTATACTACATATGTCCATATATTCTCAAGGGTGTGTGTGTGTGTGTGTGTGTGTGTGCGTGTTTGCACATGGGGGCATGATTCAATGTTCAGAAGTTTTAGATGACTGGTTTTCTTGTTAGAAAATGGTAGAATATTAATCTGAATTATTTTCAACAGGTTGACATGATAAAAGAAGCATTAGAAAAACTTCAGCTCAATATAGTAGAGATGAAAGATGAAAATGCAACCTTAGATGGTGGAGACGTCTTATTCACAGGTATAGTTGTATTTACTTTTTGCGATACAAAAATATTTCTAATATCTGGCTTATATCCTCTTGTTTAATTATAGATTTTTTTAATTACCAAAGCAAAAATGCTAAATGCAGAGAATTTGGAAAATATAGAAAAGCGCAGAAGAAAAAAAAACAAAAATGAACTTTCATTCAAAGATAAACATTTCAATATTTGGGTGTATGTCCTTTTAGTACACTTGTATGCATATATTTACATACATTTTACAAGAATGTTATCAGTATATACATATCATTTCGTAGATTTCGTCTACTAGTTCTTCTATAATGTGAGTTTACGGGTTAGTTTTGCCTTGTGTGACAGTATATCTGGTTTGCATTTAAAAGATTCTTAATTCAAGATGTTTCATTTACAAATAATTTTCATTCTAGCTGGCAAGATGAATTTAAATAATTATCAATGAAAATTAACTTGGCTTAATATCAGATGAATAATAGCAAAAGTCAACAAATATGAATACCTAATATTATTATTGGTCTAACTGGAATCAATTTTTACAGTAGGTTTAATATAACTACTAAAGAAATAGTAATTTCAGCATTTAACCTTTCTAGCTCTTTATGATCCTATTACGATTTTGTAACATCATGTGCTAAAATCTGGATTCTCAGATTCAATCTAGTTGTACTGATAAGCAAGACAATCAATAATAATTTTTAATTTATAGTGAGAGTTCATTATACCTTATATATCAGAGAATTAATATCTGTTTCACACATGTAGCCTTAACAGCAGAGGCTGATCCCCAGAAATCTTGGAATATAGCCCCAGGTGGCCCATTGGAAGCATGAAGCTTTATGGAAGTTTAATATTTTAGACGATGTGAATTTTTTATTGAATCCCGTGTATATAGACAAAACATAGCCATCTTCTTTTTCAAATAAAAATAATGTTTTGCTTTACTTACATTTTGATATAATGTTCCTGGAGGAGGAGGAGGATTTATCCTGTGACATTTGAATGTCACATACCTATGGGTGGGATCACTGTGTTGCTGAGCTCCAGGGGCCACCATTCTTATTATAGGTTTGTGAACTGGGGTTGTGCACTGCACAACTTGTGCTACCACTGTCAGTGGCAAAGGCCCTGCCTCTGGGGTTTGGTGTGCATACCCATTGAGCCAAAAGAACACAGAACAAGCAGTCAAAGGGGCCTACACTTCATTCTCGACTCCAGATGTGTCCAAGCAGACTTGGGCATTCTTTGAATCTGCCTAGTAAGTTCCCCTTAGAATATTCTTTGTGTCTTCCATTGATGGCACTTTCATTCTTTTTGGTAGCGCAGAACAACAGCATGTTTCTTTTAGAAAATAAGCTTTTGTGAAAAGCTAGATGTGTAAATCACATTTCCTGACAATAAAACTCCTTTTTACCAGAATGTAGCCATTTAATAAATTACTTTTAAACAGGTACTGATAATATTAGAACTACAGTTTAAAACAAGCTGTATTCACAGCCATTTAGTTATCTTAACAGATGAACTGAACAGATTCCCTAAAATCTTCTCAGTGTTATGGCGTAGCTTATACCAGGAACTTCTTCCATTGGTTAAAGGTCTTTCCACAGCATCTCAAGCCTGATGTTTTTGCTCCAACTTCTAATTAGGTACTAAGCATTGAGGCTTGCCTTTGACACTATCTGTAAACTTTTTTGGGGGGTGGGGTATATTTAATATTTAAGCTAATATCTTAGAAGTTATTTTATTCAAAGCTGAAATCATATTGGGATATTAAGACTTTATCTGCTTAACACCTCATTTGCACCTAATATCTGGTCTGGCATTCTAATTCCTACTTCTCAATTTTTTTTTCCTTTAAAAAAATTGTGGTAAAATACATATAACATAAAATTTGTCATTTTAACCATTTTTAAGTGTGCAATTCAAGTGGCATCGATTACATTCACAGTATTGCACAACCATCATCACTCGATTTTTGAAGTAGGCAGAGCGGGGTAAGAAACAAAATCTGTAGTACTTTCACGTGTTCTGTATCCTTTTCCTGCTGTAACTCAGCTTCATTAATTATTGATGAGGAAATGGACAGAAGGAGAGCAGCTTTCCAACTCCAGTTCCACTGGGAAATCTATCCGGTGAACAGCTACTGGCAGAAGTTGTTTTAATCCTATTTCTCTTAAATAGACACCATCAGTTTACCTCGACTTTTATTTATTTTTGTGAAATATGGAGCATATAAGAAAGAGTTATAAAATGTTTATGTACAGTTTAAAGACCAATAATAAAGTGAACACCTGGGTGCCTACCACCTGGCTTAAGGAATAGAACATTGCTAGGACCACAGAAGCCCAGTCCCAACCTCTCTCTCCTCCCAGCCTGAGGTAACCACTGTTCTAAGTTTTGTGTTAATCACTGTCTTGTCTTTCTTTGAGTCTCACCTCAATGTATGTATTCTTAAATTATGTGTTGTTTAGTTTGACTTCTAATAGCTTTATGTGATTAAAGTCACACTGCATTGTCTTGTGAGATTTTTCTGCTTTTGATCAAGTTTGATACATGTAGCTATAGTTCATTCATTTTCACTCTTGTGTGGTATTTTGTGGTAAGAATAGACCATGATGTACGTGTTCTTTTTTTCTGATGTGTATTTGAGTGTTTTTCAGTTTTTGTCTGTATCTTCAATGCTGCTATGTACACGCTCATGTGTGTCTCCTGGGGACATGTATAAGAGTTTCTCTAAAGTAAAAAGCTAGAAATGGAATTTCAGGTGAAAAACTTTTTCTTTGCTTCAATGAGATGACTATATAATTTTCTTCTTTAATCTATTGATGTGGTTAATAACATTAATTGATTTTCTGATATTTGACCAGTCTTGCATCCCTCGGAGGAAGACAAACTTCATCATAGTATATTCTCTTTTTACTATAGTGTTGGATTTAGTTTGCTAATATTTTGTTTAAAACTTTTGTTTCTGTGGCCTGTAATTTTTCTTTCATGTTATCCTTGCTTGGCTTGTGTAAAAGAGTTATATTAACCTCATAAAATGTGTTAGGGAATATTGCCTATGTTTCTATTCTCTAGAGTCAGTATTATTTGAATTGCCTGTTCCTTGAACTTTGATAGAACTTACCTATAAACAGACCTTGTGGGCTGGTGCTTTCTTTGTGGGAAGATTTAAACACTTTTTTTCTTCAGTGATTATGTGATTATTGAGGTTTTCTGAGTGATTTTTGGTGAGTTGTTTTCTAAAATTTTATCTATTTTATCTAAGTTTTCAAATATTGGGTTACAAAATTAATCGTATGTTCTAAATATGTTTTAAGCTTTACGGCAACTATAGATATGTCCTTTTTTCATTCATAATGTTTATTGGCGCCTTCTCTTTTTTTCTTGCCAAAGATCTGTCAAATTTTTAAATCTTTTCGAAGATTGAACTTTTGGCATTGTTGAACCTTCTCTTGTGTGTTTCCTGTCCTCTTTCTGTTTCTACCTTTATTTCCTTCCTTCAGATTTCTTTGCTTTTAATTTTGTTCTTTTTTCTTACTTTTCAAGTTGGAGTTTTGTCTCTTTAATTTTGAGCCTTTCCATCTCTTAAAGCTATGTAACTTTTCCCCAAGTTCTGCTTTAGCTGAATCTTTCATGTTTTGAGATGAATAGTTTTGTTATTACTTCTAAATGTTTTCTGATTTCCATTATGATTTATTCCTCTGCTCGTTAGTTGAAATAATGTAATAATGTTTTTTTAAAAAAACATATTGGCTATTATTTTAAGTTGCTGGGACAAAGACTCAAACATATAACTTATCTTTCCTTTATGAATTCTGTTTCAAGTAGACCAAATACTTGATTGAGGAAAGTTTTTCTTTTTAGAAGTCTAGCCAGTAAATGTAGATCCCTAATAAAATAATGGATCAGTGTTCATCAAAGGATGTTAAAATCTTTATACGAAAGCTTGATGGGGAACTTCATATAATGGAGCAATTAGGCTGATACCACCTGAACACACTGATCACTCTAGCATCACTGAAACTGACAGTCAGTCATGTGCTTCATGATGTGGTGTAATAGAAGCATAACCCCACCATCGAAGTACTCCTATCGAAAAAAAAAAAAATTTGAACAAGAATCTAATTAAGCGTCTACATGAAACTCTGTTTATGGAAAATATAAAGCATAAAGGAACACTTTAATGTTAGATGATACACAAGGAAGCAATCAGCCAAATGCAGAATGCAGGATAGTCAATAGGACAAATAATTGGTTTCTCCTATAAAGAATGAGATGAGGAAGGAAAAGAAATTAGCATAGAAGAATATACCTTAAGAGACATAACAACCAAAACAAAACTTTTTAGTATTTCAGGAAGGCCCTTTAGGGGATCTAACCCACCATACTGCCAGAAACAGGAGTCCAACTTACTTTTAAAAGAAAATGCAGTTTGCTTTTCTTTGTCCTTTTCTATCTCCCTTTAGTCTTTGCAAATGGGAATAATGTGCAAGCCCCATTATAAATTTGTTAAAATTTGCATAATGCATTAAATGTTTTTCTTAAAAATTATGTATAGGTCTAATTTATAAATCTATTTTATTAAGGAGATTTAATTTTTTAAATCATAGCTGATGATTTAAGTGAGTCCACTTTTATTCAATAAAAGACATTTTCCTAACTTAAACCTTAATTTGCATGTAGTGAATTTTCTTAAGGGACAACGCAGTCATACTATTACCAAAAAAAAGTCAATTCGCTACCAAAGATTCCTGTGTCTGCCAACAACATGAGCCATTAGAATTTATCATAATATCATTTGACATATGTCATTTACCCCTTTTATAAGTATGACATAAGGATTAAAGTAGTAACATTTGTAAAATCTATCAAGCAGTTTTTTCTACATGGCTACTCTTCTACTTTACCCTACTGTTCTGGGGCAAAAATATGCTAATTTATCTTTGAAGAAGTTTCCTCTCCTTTCATGTAGAATTCTTTCCAAAGAATTAACAGAGGATAAGAATCCCCACATTTATGTTTTGCCAGGCTCTCTCTACTCTAAATTGTTTGTTTGCCAATAACTAGGAGACCATTTTTATTTAGTGTTTTGCCTTCTGAGAAGGAAAATCACAGTATTTCAGAAAAGCCAAATTAGAAGAAAGTTCTGTCCTCCTAAACTTTAATATTTGTAGACAAGCATCTTTAATCTTTTGGTTTGAAATAAATAGATGCATAGTTTTAAAGACAGCTCAGAGTCAGACCTGAAGCTCAATCAGCAGTAAACTCACTTTACCAGGTGATTTCTTCAGCCCTTATATCATCATTATAAGAAAAGGCATCCAACTTTATCAAGAATGTCTAGTGTCATTCTTTTAGGGGAAAAAAAGAAGCACTGCTAACTTGTCATTGCTATTACTTAATTTCTGATCACAGATTATTAATGTATTTAATTCTATTATTTCCTAAATAAAAACTTTATTCTCTTATTCTGGTAAAATATACATAACATAAAATTCACCATCTAACCATTTTCAAGTGCACAGTTCAGAGGCATTAACTATATTCACATTGTTGTACAACCACCATCACCCATCTCCAGCACCGTGTCACCTTCCCAAACTAAAACTTCATATCCATTGAACAGTGACACCAGTTCCCCTTCCCCTCAGCCCTTGGCAGCTACCTTTCTACTTTCCACCTTTATGAATTTGAAAAAGTTTATTTCTAAGGGCAATAGTTTGAAATCAGATTTATGTAAAAAAAGCAGGAGTCAGAGTATAAATACGCCTGCCTTCTGTGGTAGGAAAGAACTGTGCGATGCTTTAAGGTTGTTATTTATAGATAAATAAATAGTGTGCCGTCACTGGTACCACCCGCTCACTATGTTCCGTGACATTTATTATAGGCAGAGAATTTTTTGTGGGCCTTTCCAAAAGGACAAATCAACGAGGTGCTGAAATCTTGGCTGATACTTTTAAGGTAGGTAAAAGATAATTTATGCCTGGCACAGAATAATTACTTAATAAATATTCATAGACCTATTAAATCAATAGGTCATGAATAATAATATTTACATGTCACTGGCTTTACAAAATAATTCCTAATATTTGTAAGTTTACTAGAATTTTAGAAGTTATCAAATTCAAATTTCTCAATAAATAGGCTTTATTGGGCTACCCAGCAGCACCAAAGTTATCATGACCTCTGCTTTCTCCCAGTATATAATCATACAACACAGATGTTTATGGCACAATCGATGACTTAAAAAAAAAATCCAGAAACCGAATTGATCCTAACATGAAATGTGGATTTTTCAGACTGGAATCAAGGATCACCTGTACTTGGGTGCCTACCATGTGCTAGAAACTGGTCCAGGTGTTGCCATACATCCTTTTAGGTTCTCTTTACTCTATTGCTCATTAATAGGTGGCTCACCAGACTGCTTAGGAATTGCGAGAACCCCCATGAAGCTCTGTTACCCCATGAAGGTGTGAGGCTGTAGTTTGCACAGGATATTCAGGCACATCCTTCTGCAGTAGCCCACTCCAAGCTCAACTAACAAAGCTGTTAACACACACACCTGGAAGAAGGCTCTGTACTTCCTTCTAAGAAGCAGTCTTCATTTAACTAGCAATACCAAAACCTGTGGGTTCCAGTTTTTCTTCCAGATATTTAGGCCCCTGGCAGCCTCCAGAGGAGCAGGCATGTTTCAGGCAGGTTTAAATCAGTTTTAGAATTATTCTGCAATGCCAAACTGCTTGTTTCTATTGTATGCATAGGACTATGCGGTCTCCACAGTCCCAGTGGCTGATGTTTTGCATTTGAAGAGTTTCTGCAGCATGGCTGGGCCTAACCTTATCGCAATTGGATCCAGTGAATCTGCACAGAAGGCCCTCAAGGTAAATACAAAACTAGGCACCTTCGAAATGCAGGAAGCAATGCCTGCCACACAGTTTTTCTAATTTTGTCTGCTAGGTGGGCAGCAAGCAGAGGTGACAGGGAGAGAACAAGCTGGTACTTGAGCTTTCTCTGACATGCACTGTCATGACCTCTCATTCATCAGGAACTAGGAACACCTAAATGCAAGAAAAATTCTTCACTGACAAACCACTCTTACTCACACACCACGTTTCCTAGAAAGGCCATGATTCAGAATAACAAACACCAAAGTCATCACAGTGATTTGTGATGAGGGTGCCACCAGGAGAGCTCTTTGTGATCTTTGTCTCTTAAGTCAGTAATTCGTACACAAGGGGTCATTATATTATTTTTATCCTTTTGTATATCTGAACTATTTTATGACAGTCTTTTAGGAAGCCATGATTCAGAAGTACCTAAAAATTTTAACTTCTTCATATGCATTTAGAATACTTAAATTTTAGGACAGGAAGTTTTCTCATTTCACAGTTGAGAATAGAAAAATTACGACTTGTCCAGGGTTACACAGCTAGATCGAGAGTGGAATTCATTGATAATGAAGAAGGCCTTCCATGTTACAGTACTTTACAGTTCAAAAACATTTTCTTTCTCTGTAACTAACAACCCCATGAGATGATGTGGGTGCTAAATAAGGGCAAACACCATGTATGTTTTGCTCACCTATGTATTCCTTTATGCTTAGCCCACAGTGAACCCTTAATCAATATCTGGTGAATGGATGAATGAATGAATGAATGAATGATAGAGGTGGTATTATCTCCATTTTGTAGATGAGAACTAGATCAAGTGACTCACCCTAGAAAGTGGGCTGGGACTACCACCCCTTGCTCTCTAGTGGTCCTGCACAACGGCTTACGTGACTTACTAAAGGATCAAAGACAGAAACTCACTTAGATAAAGAGAGAAAATCTGTGTGCCCCAAGGTGCACAATTTATTTATTTTTTCCTATCAAGTCTTTACTCTAGTACCACAGTGCTAGACTTGGTATACTTTGTGTGGGAAGCAGTCATTGCCTCTCAATTGCCGAATTTCTCCTATTCATCATCTCCAGTTTCTTCAACCAGTTCACCTGGCCTTTCTGTCTTCCTTTCTCAAACTGCATCCTGGATTGTATTTGTAAGACTTTTAACAATTGTTGCTGAACAATCTGACTCAGAATTTAAATTTGATGGCTTTCTTATGTTTCCTTTAGAAAATGTCTTTTATTCTGCTTCATCTGGAAAGCTTTGTTAATTTTGAGCATATGAAAAAGATGGTGTCTGGAAAGAGAGAATTTGATGAAAGGTGTCACTCGAGAGTCTAGGAAGATTATTTTTCTCCATAGGGATTAACTGTGGTGTTTATCCATGGTTGGTCTACACGTGTCTAAAATTGATTATAAGGGAAGCAGAAGGCTGAAGCTGGCTCATACTGTGCCTTTGTGTGAATTAGAAAAGAAAAAAAACCTCCTCTAGGTGGACAAATTAGAAAAAGTAGCCCCATTCGCCATTCTGGATAGACCAGGTTCCTAACTCAAATATCTTGGTGCCCTAACTCAAATAGTCCAGAGAAACTAACACATAACAAACTAAGAGATAATACAATATGGTAAACTAGCACTATGTTATATGAAATAGCTCTAACTACCGTTCAGAGAAGAGAAAGGAGCTCCTTGAGGGCTAGATATCCAGAGAAAGCTTCATGGAGAAAAATGGGGCTAGATGTGGATCTTAAAGGATTTTTGGCAGTGGGCGATTCAGTGAGAGATTGTTCCAGGTGGAGACATGGTATAAGCAAAGACTGAGCAAAGTACATACATGAGATCTGAGCAAACTGGTCCAAGTAATAAAGAGTTTTCTTATGGGCTCTCCTGGAGATACAGCTGGATGGGGACTGGTGAAAAGGTAGGGACTTAACAGTGTGGAAGAGGATGAGTTTATGCCCATGAAGCAGGAATCTGGGTACCCCACGAGGCTCTGAGCAGAAGGGTCTGTATTGCTTCAGAGACGTTGGATCATCATTCCTTTTGCAAAAAAGAAAATTTTACGGAGAAGGCCCTGCGGTTAGTAAAGAGGACCACTGATGACCTAGAAAAGAAAGCCAAACCTTTATAGTCCTCTTTCCTGTGATGTTTAGTCGAGTTAGTGTTAATAGTGTTTGCTCTATCCTTAAAACCTTCTGTGTCAGATGTTATAAATAAGCCTCACTGACTAGAAAGGCATTCTGTGAAGATCATATTTCCATCAGCAAATGTGCTTCCTAAACCAGGGGCCTGTGGAGTTGGCAAATGCCTACCTGCCATGTTCCTAACATCAAAAAGGCCCTCTTACCTTGCAGTGAAAAACAGGAGGACAAACCGAACCGAATGATGAGCTTTCTGTGAGGGCCTGTTCTCAGGTCAACGCTTGGTGGGTCAATGGGATCCAGATTAACGAACTGAACTGCTGATGGAGAACATTTTTGTCTTCTTTATTAGAACAATCAGTGAAACTAGTAGCGGGGTAAATCCTACTGCTTATTTGGAGACATGAAAGCATGTCGGTTTTATTTTTATCATTTCACGGGTGAAAATACCGAGATCGATTGAAATAAAGCATTTTGAATAGGATCTTATGGTTTCAGAATCAGATTTCCTGGGTCTTGATTCTCCTCTTCCTAGTCGCCCACCCCATCCCATGTGCATTCTTTTTCTATTAGGAAGTCTTTCCTATTATTTCGCCATAGATTGGTTCTAGTGGACCTTCCCCTTTCTCCTCCCCTCTCTCCAGTTATCCCCCTCTTCCCATTTTTTTGCTGGGATCCAGGAAAGATGTGAGTTCGGTCCCAGATATGTTTTTCCCTTGCAAATCTTCATGTCTCAGTCTCGTCTCTATAGAGAAGCCTCTGGCCAGTTGGGTATCTCTTTGAAGGGCATAGCATTTAAACAGAGGTGAATTGTGCCTTCCCGTGCCACACACTGAAAGCTTGATTACTTCCTACATCTGTCACTGCTTGCAGAGTAGTTGTTTCCTTCAGAGTCTGAAAACTACTTCTTACATATTTATGCAAAGCTGAGAGCCCAAGGGTTTCTTATTGCATTTAAAACACTTTCTAATGGCTTACAATCTATTTTTGGTTAATGAAGTAGATTCTTATGAAGATAGTCATCAGACCTGTTTAGGTTGTAGTAGACTTAGTAGTGTGTGTACTGTATGTTTCAGTGAAATCGTCCATCTAGGAAGACTTTAGCAACTCTCTGCTAAAAATCCCAGAACATTTTTTTTAGAACACTTTTAATACAGTGTACATTTAATAGACATTTAACACAGAGTATGTTTAATACAGGGAAGACAAAAAAGGAGGACATATTATTACTGCATTTTACTGTTGACATGGCCAAGGTACAGGGGGTTAGGTTGATTGAACCAAGTCCTAAAGATATTTAGCATGTCATGTTAGAAATACTATTATCCAAGCAAAATTAGTCTTTAGAGCAATTGGCCCTTTCTATATTTTTTCTCCCGTACTTTTTATTATTCCCTTCATGCCCCTGGGCAACATTTTCCTTCATTCTGCCCCTCTGGCTATAAAAGAAAATAGTGTAAGATTAATTAATTCATACATAAGCAATAGACCTGTATTTTGTATCTTACAGAAGGAATGTTTACCTTCTCAAAGATATGAAAGCTCCAGTTGCTGGACAGCCAGAAATGCTGCTCACAAACGTAATTTGAGCAAAAGAAGTCAATCTTCAAAAAATATATACGTAATTATTTCATTCATTTAAAGTTAAACAAGAGACAAACTATTCTTTCGTTAGCAGTCAAGATAGTGGTTACTTTAAGAAGGAGAAAGGAAGTTGTGGTCCATTGGGCCACTTTGTATGTTCTTAATTTTAAGTTCAGAAGAAAAATACATACATTATATTGTTGGAAGCGGGCTGTGATTAACTGACAGAAATAATTCTCCAATAGTTAAGGTCTAACTTTCAAACTCCTGCTTTACCTTCTACATGAAGCCCGTCTTTTCCACAGACTAACCTGTTTTTTATTTTTTTAAGAAAAAAGAAGAATGAAACTTTGTACCACTTAACTAACATCTCCCCATTTCCACCCCACAGCCCTTGTACAACTTAAATATATACAATTATTAATTGTTAATTATACTTCAATAAAGTAAGGGAGGAAAAAATGAGATAGTAAACAGTAGATTTGTATCACATCCCACCCGTTCTTTTTCTAGATCCGTTTCAAAATTGACTTCCTTTGAAAAAATCTGGATTTATTACGTGCTCTCCGTCATATGAGGACAGGTTATAATTCCTGCCCTTGGGAGGAATTCACAGTAATGATTTTTAACTCAATCTTCTTGATAGCATTTAGTCCTCCAGTCAGTTGGGGGAAAGAGGGTAAAGAAAAAGGGTAAGTAAGAAGGAAGGAAGGAAGGAAGGAAGGAAGGAAGGAAGGAAGGAAGGAAGGAAGGAAGGAAGGAAAGGAGGGAGAAAGGGAGGGAGAGAGGAAGGGAGGGAGGAATGGAGGGAGGAAGAGAGGAAAGAAGGGAGGAATGACAAAGAAAAGGAGATGGGAAAGTAACGGGGAGGGGAGTAACATTTAGCCAAAATTTTCCTGAAACTAATCAAATGAGGAAGTTCCTGACTTAGCAGAGCTCAGAGTTGGAGCTTGAGGGGCTGTAGTACTGACAAGTAGGGGGCTGTGCCATCTGCTGGCTGGACAACAAGTGGAGCACTCTCACCTTCCGAACCCCATGCAGGAGACCAGTTATTTTTTCCTTTTGGCATCTGCAGTTTTGTTTAGTGGCCTTTATTAATAATTCTATTCTTTTGTATCATAAGGAATTATTATTTTAAATACTTTTAATAGAAGTACTAAAAAGATGTGGTAAGAAAAGAATTATGAGGTCACTACTCCATTTTTGTCTTTATCAGGTAATGGAGCTGAAATACAGTAAGTATAATTCCAGTAGACTTGTAATTTTAAATTA